TTAAATTTGTCTATCCCGATGCATGCCTAGGGAAGATCCGGTTGTAGACGTTGGGATAAGGAGGGACACCCATGTTTCTCCCCCTGAGGCGTATTGGGGGAGGGGAGAACAGGCTGGCTCTCGCCCTTGGGAGGAGGAGGGTTTGAGGTTCATGGGGAGAGAAGCCAGGCCCTCCACCCTCCCCTCCTTGAGGATGCCTGGACAGGGAGACTCAGCTTTAGCCCTGGGGCCATGGCAGGACACAGGGGGGAGGGTGTCCTGCGATCGCCCCAGGGCTAAAGCCAAACAGAAGGATCAGAAAAGCGTAGTATTGTTAGACAAAAAAGCACATAAAGGGGCATTTTGAAATTAAGGAAAACGTGGGGGGCAGGGATTTTGATAGGCATGAAAGAAGGATGAGAGAGACTTTCATGGCCGGGAAAGGGGGGACCCTGTAATGATTGGCAGGGTGTAACATCTCAAAACTCTTCCTATCATCATCATCACTGCTTTTATCTGGCAGTCTCTCAAATCAAGGTTTGGATTTGGGTAAAGAGGTGTCTTCTTATCCCATGTGCATATATCATCATCAGTCAATCAACCAGTACATTTGTTAAGGTCACATGTTGTTGTTTAGTCATCAAGTCATGTCCGACTCTTCGTGACCCCATCTATGGACCAGAGCACACCAGGCCCTCCTGTCTTCCACTGCTTTAAGGTCACATACATTTGTTCAAATACACACCCATCAATTTACACAAATTGTTTTTGTTCTTGCTATAATTATTCTGCAGTTTCTCAAAATCTAGGTTTGAATTTGAGTAAGGGTCTCTACTCCCATGTGTATAGAAAAATTATACATTTTTGTTATATGAGATACACATCCAGCAACTCACACACAATACCTCATCATCATTATGTGTATTAATTGCATAGACATTGAGGAAAGGGGTAACCTTCCGATTGGGGGGCTTTAAAAGAGGTCTGTAAAAAGGTTTCTTCTCTCTGCATATGAGAAACAAGGGTTAATGTCTTAACCTATTGATTTTTATTTCTTCTTTGTTTTTTCTACACCCGCTAAAAGTGCTTTCATAGTTTTTTTAAGTTGTCCAGTGTTAGTTGAGAATGTTAATGAATGTATTTTAAGAAAAAACAATTATGTTTAAAAATAAAGATTGTTAATTAGTGAGAGCAAGAGTCTTTATTAGAGTGAAAAGGATAATGTGATTAAAATGTGGTTACTTTTTCTGAAATAATTCAGTGGAAATTAGGTCATGGTGAGTAACTTTTGCTGTCTCAATTAAGAGATCACAACACCCATAATATCTTGCTCGCCTACCACTCAGCTCATTGGGACCCAAATAGAACACATAAATAGGGTTGACCTGTAAAAGGCGATCTCCCCTGTAGAAAAAAAGTACTGGGATGGACATAATTTTGTGGAAAAAGGAAGACCTGTGTTTTTTCTTAGGAAGAGGAGAAAAATCAAACATACCGCAGGCAGCCATACATTGAAAAGGAAAATGCAGGACAATTTACCAACTTGGACGCTAGGGGTAGCTCCATACCAGTCTATAAATAGAAAAGCGGTACATAGGTTGCCACCATACATGAATTGAACAGTGAAAATGTCAGTTTTGGTCACGAATTGGGAGTGTTTTCATCTCTTTTCTGACCAGGAATACAAGATTTGCTAATGTTGGTAAATTCTTCAGATTTCTGGAAGGGAAATTTTCAGCCATCTTTCCTGGCCAGATTTGATCCTGAAGAGGATGCTGTTAATGGTCTACCCACATACATGTTGAAAGATTAAGGGGAAAAAACTTTTTAAAGAAATAAAAAGTGTGAAAACCTAATTCAGTGGCAGCAAGCCTGAATGCCAGAAATTCAAACAGAAAAACCCTGATCCTTCATGGACAAACCTTGTTTCGCTTTTCTCCATGATCTGGTGTCAAGTTCTTCGCAAGCCGAATATGAAAAGAGGTGGTGGTGGTAAATTTGGACGACCCCAGGTTGTGTAAGGGGGGAACCAAAGTGAAATAAAGTTCATGAAAAGCACCAGAGAAGCAAGTTTGTAGAAGGAAGCAATGTTTTAAGAGCAAGCCTACATCAGAATACACTTGTTAGTCGGGTCATGAGAACTTGAGGATGAGATTAGACCAGGGGTCTCAAACATGTGGCCCGGGGGCCATTTGCGGCCCTCCAGATGAGTTTGTGGCCCTCCCCTTGCCTGCCCCCCCAAAGCGCCCACACATCCTCTATCAAGAGTTTAAAAAAAGTCTTGCCTTGATCGCCAGCTCTCTCCCAAGACAGCACCTCTTGCACCCTCCATCCAGAACTGCAGCCTGCCAGGCAGCCCACCTGTCTGTCGTCTAAGAAACCTCCTAGGCAGCTTTCTCGGGCTCTTGCTCCGCTTGGCGGAAAATCTGATGCGGCCCAGCCTCACCCAGACTCTGCCTCTAGCAGCCCCCAGGTAAATTGAGTTTAAAACCCCTGGATTAGACCCAGGGAAAGATGTCACAACTGTCCTTCCGCAAACACTCTTGGAGATTAAATGTTCGGCAGGAACTAACTTCATTATACAATAAAAGCTGCTCAGCACTGGAATGGCCTCCATCAAAAAAGTGGTGGACTCTCCTCCTGGTTTTTAAACAATTTTTCAATTACATTCCTTGTCCTGCCTTTCCTCCCATGTGAGCTCGAAGCCACATACAGGACTGTACATAGCTTTTCCTCCTTGCCTCTTAATCTTCACAACACACAACCCTGTGAGGTAGAGCAGTTTTATGTATTTTAAGTTTATTTAATTTTAAGCTTCATAGCTAAAGATTAGATCATACCCGTTTTCTTAAAGGTGGTGGTTGTGAGATACACAAATAAGACCTCAGGAGATGGTGTTTATCATAAAGCCTCCAACATAAAGGGTGTGTAATTCCTTCCTAAATTTCTCTCTCCACCCCCCTTCCCCCGTGGAAGGAGAACCCGCTTTGCCACTTTTTAAATAGGGAAACTACAAAAGATTTAAAACTCGAAAACAATGTGTTTCAATGCATTTATTAAATTCTTACAAAACAGAATACAAAAAATTCTGGCATCAACAAGGTGTTACAAAGGAAAAAAAAGTCCCATCAAGCTGTATCAGTTCACCTGGTACATAATAAAGTGCTTGGTTTTTTGTTTTTGTATTTTAAATTTTTTTAAAGATTTTTTTTTCATCCTTCCTTATTTTTAAACCAGTCCCGGGCTGGTAGACTGTCTCTTGTACACCCAAGTCCCCAGCAGTACGTTTAAAGATGACTTTATGTGGAAAAAACACACACAAAAACCTTTGGCAGTCTTTGTATCATAGCCAGAGGAAAGTATTTCTCCTGGACTGATTTTTTTTCTCATTAAAAAAAAAGGAGAGAGAAAAGCCACATTTTCACAGTAAAATATTACTAAACAGTTCTAAATTGACATGAATGGAAGAAGAGAGGACATTAAATCAAAAGACAGCTTCAAGGCATTCCTTCCTCCCTCTCCCCGAATATGCAGAAACAAAACTCAACTGGAGGTGCTAAACAAAAAAGGCTTTCTGAGAAAAAGTTTTTCTTTATATATTTTTAAAAAAGGAAATAAAAAGAAAACTGCCCAGGGAGAGGGGAGGAGAATTTTAAAAACAAAAGCAACAACTTTGGCACATAAGAGTTTAATCATTGCAAACTGAAAAGGGGGGAAAAACAACTGGGTGCAATCAAAGACAAACTAAGCCCAAAGACCTGGAAAGCAAAATGGAGTAAGATTAGCTGGTCGGGAGGAAGCCATGGGAAGAAGCCAAGAGTATTTGGGGTCTTCAGTCCCTCGAAACTCAGTAAAACGCTTCTGCAAACCAGGGGAACTGTGTTAGGCTTCAATAGGGCACCATGTCAGATCTCTCCAATAAAAGAGAATATTTTTATTTCCTAAGCCTGTATATGTCCCAAAACTCCTTGGGAGTCAATGCAACCTCACAATTAAATTTTAAAGCATACCATTCCAGGCATCCCCGGGGGAGGAGAATGACCTTTCTTCGCCTTCTCCGAAATGTTCTATGCCTCTTTGATCTCTGAACAGAGAGATAAGAAATCTTTGAGCACCTTCACAATTTTGGTCACATACAAAACAAAACAAAAAAAGGTGCACTGTGAGGTGGGAGGTTTTATGAAGGAGGAGGCAACCGTTTTTATTCACATCCGAGGAGTCAATGTGAAATTCTGTCCCGTTGCTCCTGATGAGATTTATAAATCTTTTGTCTCATTTGATGCTTCATGAATCCCTTCTCCTCTTCCCTCCCGTCCCCATCTTCGAAACAAACTTCAAATCACCCAGGCGAATACACTCCTTTGCTGGCTGTGTCAGGGCCATGCCCAAAGAGTGAAACCTTAAAACTTCATTGCCCTTTTCTGTCCCATCTCAGCAAGCCACAGAACTGCAAGGAAATTTCAACCGTCATGTTCCTATTACAATTATTTTAAATTCAGTAACACTTCTCAGTGCCAAACACCAGCTCCACAAGGCCAGTTACGCACCTGAAATCAGCCCTTTCAGTTGTGGAAGCTGGGCACCTCATCCCAAACCTGCATTGCTGACGGATACGTTTTGAGTCACAAACCTATTATCCACAGTCTACACAATTTCCCAATCTGTGGAACGCAGGGACGACGAAGCAAAATGCACCCTTCAGAAAAATCAGTCCCTTAAAAATGAAGCAGCACTCATCTCGTGCCACATGGCACAGCTGCCTCTTGAGAGGGCTGTCCCTCAGTACGGAGGGGCCGACTTTAGAAATCCACTTGCTTTTTTTCCTGGATATCTATCTTGACAAATAGTACAAAGAGGATGTTTAACACGAAGATCAATCACCCACAGGCAATCCTGCCACACGTCCGACCTCTATGGCCTTGTTTATGTTTCTTAAAACGTTGGGCATATGTCCGGGGGGGGGGGGAATGAAAAGGGACCTCTGAGAAAATGTCCCAAGTGCTACAAAAAATCCTGAGAAATATCCTGATTGGGAAAAGGAGATTGAAGGGAAGGAGTCTCACTGGGATCAAATATCATGAGAGCTTCCCCATCACTCCATGTTTTGCCCTTAAAAAAAAAAAAAGACAGCAGGAGGTACTTCTCCCAATGACTCAAAGAGGAACCAAAAAGAAGGGAATCCCATCCGCCCCAACTTCCTCCGGGGGGGGCAACCAAAAATGCAACTGGGGGGCAGGAAGGGGAGCGAAGCGCTTATATTGCCAGCTTTTGTACTTCCGTTTGTTTCAGAGAACAAGGTGGCTTTGTTTCTGCTGGATTCCAGACAGCCAAAGTTCTGCCACCGTTTTATATCTCTGCCCCCAAATTAAGTCTCCAAATTCATTTTAATGAGCTCGGTCCCTGTTCTAGGAACTCTTCACCCCTTTCCGCCAATCCCACCGTGTTCAGGGTTCTGTTTTGGGGATGCTGAGAGGCAGAGGAAAAGGGGGGGGTCCCAAAGGGATTTCTAGTCTGTAGCCTAGAGACACCCAAGATCTCTCCTCCAGACTTTCATAGGCTCTATAAGCATTTCTGCTTCCCCCCCCCCTCAAATCTTGCATGGCCAACCCAAGATGAGCTTGGTTTCTTGTGCTGAAAGAGTAAGACGTGCCACCCTGGAACATTTAAAAAGCTGTTGGACCTGCAGCCTTATGGTGGCTTCCCTGACAGTCGTGTGCAACCATACGTTGTTCAAGTATTTCTCCTTGTAAGACTATGATCTACAACCCACCACAAAAGGCATTATATGCAAATTTTCTCTTTTACACGTACTACAGAAGTTCATTTAAAAAATAATAATAAACAGCTCTTCCGGGTGGCCGCATGAGCAGGTTTAAGGGCCGGAGGCCAGTGCGGCTCCCCAACCCAAAGAACATTGTCATCCAATTGAGAAATTTGCATGGCAAGGAAAGAAAGCAACTACAAATGGAGAGGGTGAATGAACCTCAGCCAGCTCATTCGTCAGAAAAGGAGGATCCTCCCAAATTGAAAAGTTACCAAAACGGCCAAGATATCTAGAAATTGTTCTATCACCCACTCCTGAACACCTATTGCATAGTATTATTGTTAGATTTGTGTTCCTTAAAAAACTTTTCAGAGGAAAGTATGGTTCCAAAAACACCGACACAATTATTTCCAGCAGTCTACCTCAGGAGAGGAGGTTTTAACAGGAGAAACATCACTTCTGCCACCAGCTCTTCACACTGGCAAATTTTGATCTAAAAACTGGTGGCACGGCTGGTTACTAAGGGATTTCAGGCATTATTTAAAGTGAGTCCTTCAGGGATTCAGTTCCTCCTAAGACTCGAGAAAGCCGGTCATCAGGTCGATGCATCTCTTAAGCAATAAATCCACAAAGTTTAGTGCCCCACTGCACTACACATCACACCATGTTTTAAGTCTCCACCCTAAGCCATTTGGGGCCATTGGACTTGAAGCAAAGTTAGCAACTTATGTTTACTCAGAGGCAGGCCCCCAAAGATCCAGCTAGACATCCCATCTAAGCCGGTCGAACAGGACCACCACGACCCACATTTAATATTCCAACTAGAGAAGCCGCTATTCTCCTCTTAGGACTTTGGAGTTCTCCGCTAGCAGCAATCCCAGGAGAAGGAACCCAAACACCAGTCCACAGGCACACGCAACATCTTTCCATCTTGATTAAGGAAGGAAGGTACACTTTTCTCATTTGTGCAATAGGGCACCTTCTGATGACAGCTCGGGTCAACGTCAGGGCGACTGCCTGTGCCCACATCCCAAAAAAACCCCAACAGAAACCAGGAACTGGCTCGGGTTTTGAGGAGAGGAGGGGCTACCCAAACAAAACCCAGGTGGATCCTTCGCATTGGCAAATGGGCACAACGCGCTTATACAGGCACCCTTCAGACTTTCCGCAATCACTGTGAAACAGATGTCAGTCTGCAGCGTTTGGGGGGGGCGAGCCTATCCATAGTTTTCTAGCTCTTAAGACTGAGCTGTTTTGCATTTATTGGGGGGGCACTTGAGGGAGGTGTGATTTTTAAAGGGATGGGGTAGTTAGGGCTCCCCCAAATGAAGGGGTCGTGTGCATGATGCTATAATATAGAAATATGGCCAAGATTTTAAAAATGCCAGCAGATGTGGAGAGAGCAAGAAGAGAGCAATTAAAGTTGTTTTCAAACAACCTTTTAACCAAATATAATTTTAACATCCCCCTTCTGTCTTGTTTCTTAAGCTTTTTTGGGGGAGGGAGGGGGTGCCTACTATGAGAAACCCTCCTAACCTGCTTCTCTTTGTCACAACTTGAACCCAGTGTTCCACCATCCTGTAAATCTGAAAGTTTTCCAAATACTGAGGTTTACTTTCAGGAAGAAATCAAATTAGGTACAAAATTATCCCTGGATTAGCAAGGAGTCCAGCTTCTTGTTGCCGTGAAAGAAGAAACACTGAATACAGCTATCATCGATTGCTTGTAACCCCCAGCACAAATGCAAAACAGGTTTCTGATTGCTGTCATTGCACCATCTCAGATACTCTTATCATCCCTTGAAAACTTCCAGCTAGCTTCACGGTAACAGCTTCTTGCTTTTGTTTTAGATGCATAGGGAAAGAATGCAAAGATTTTGCTTTCTATTTCTGAAACAGATGTTCACCAAAATATTAGAAACCCCTTCTAATAACTGGTTAAGCAAACAAACAGCCACACATGTGCATAAACCCTAAAAATAAGTCCTGAAAGCCCCTGGGGGGGTGTGAGTGTTTCTATCACCTTGCATTGTCTTGTTTCCCTGTTATTAAGGAGGGTAATTATACTTTCATTTCTGCAGGAGCTTGGCAACACAAGACCACGCTACACGGCTCCATCATGTCCTCCACCGTCCCGGAAAAACAAAAAATAAGGAGTGGGTCCAGACCTGGTTACGGCTGGCCCTAAACCACCCATTCACCTACAAACACCCTTCGTTCTTTAAATAATAACAAAACAACTCAAACACTACCCTATCGTACTTGAGACCAAAACAGACTTGGATTTAAATAAAACAGGCTTCCCCACACCCCCATGTCCAGTTTGGCCATTGATAGGAAAACCGAAGTGCGGATCTGAGAGGTATATTGCCAACAAAAATTTAAGTGCCCTGAAAAATCTGAAGCAGAGTACACTGGGGGAGCGTGACAAAGGACCGAAAACAAAACTAAACAACCCAACAAAACAGTGTTAGCTCTATCGCTCGGCTAGGTTGTCCCATTGCTCTCTTCTGCCCACCTTCGCCATAGCGTTAATCCACCAGCCCCACTTTTGGTTTACTTCCCTGGTGTTCAGGGGAACATTCAGAGCTAAGAGGATGAGAAATCGCAGAGGTGCCTGCACCACACAGTTGCGTTCATTCAATACCACTGTAACCTGTAGCGCCATCCTAAGAATCGCTGGGATTTGCAATACTGTATGGTGAAAGGGCTCTGGAAGACGGCTCTTTGGCTGTCTTTCATGAGAAGGCACCAAACTCCCTCCCTCACCCAAAGCAGATCTCAGAATCCCCCCAACATCAATTGAAATGATCTAACGGTGTTCGCGCAGACACATCTTGTGAGTTCAGCCGATCTTACATCTCCCTGGAGCAAAGCAAAAGGCAAAAATCCCTAATCCCGGGTTCCTCGGCCCACACATTGCAGTTGATTTCAGTTTCGGGATTTGTATGTATAAAGTATTTCAAAAGAGGAAGAGAAAAATCAAAGAGCCAAACTAAACAGAAAAGTAGATGCATGGAACAAAGTCATGCGCCCCAACATAAGAATACTATTTAAAAAAATGGTTGAGGACTTGTAAAAGGGGAGGTCCTCCCCCATCTTTCACAGTACAAGGAGGAACAAGACAGACAGAGAAACAAACGGCCAGTTACTGAAGTTGTCCTTCCTTCAAGTAAGAGAAGGGGAACAACCCAACGTTATGTCTCGAGAGCACAAGAAGAAGAAAATCAAATTTAAGCAAAAATTATACTGGATGTGTGTGCAAGTAGAGAAAACCCCTTACGGGGATAAAAGTAGATTAAAATATCTGCTTCTTTTAAAAAAATGGTGGGGGGAAAATAAGGACAGCCAGTGTTAAAACAAAAATCAGGAAGTAAACAAACAAATGAACATACAAACAAAATTATCCTTGGAAACCAGCCAACTTGAACAGAGTTCTCGATTTCTCTTGTGTGTGTGTGTGTGTTTTCCCCCTAGCTACTCAAACAGCTTATTATTATTATTAAATTTCTTTTGTCCGAAAAAGGGGGACAAAAGGAATGGGAAACGGAAGAAAAAGCCCGGCATGATATACTCAAGAGGAGACGGGGTGGAAGGAAGTCACATGTGGTCGCCGACCAGGACTAAGGGAGCCAGCCGGGGCTGGCCGGCCTCCGCTTTGGCCAAGCTGGTCTTCTGCCGCCGTTTGGCCAGCTTGGACTCCGAAGGGGGTGAAAGCTGCATGGAGCATGAGGTAGCTTTGATAATTATGGGATGAGACTCCTCCTCCTCCGCCGCTGCTTCTTCTTCGTTCTGCATCAGCTGCCGGTTCATGGCGATGGCTTCAGCAGCGAAGGAAGTCAGCTCTTTGGCACTGCTGTTCCTGCACAGGACACGAAAAAGTGTCCGTTAAAAGTCCACCCTGCTTTTCCTTTCATATGGACATCAAGTGGTGGCTTTTTTTTTTTTTTAAGGTTCTGCACTAGTGCGGAAAACTCAATTCTGCAACCACTGGCATTTCCAAAAACAGAAAAAGAAGGAAAACATGTCTCCCAAATGAGAAGAGTACTCGGTTCTGCAACCAGGAGGGCAGAAATGAATTCTGCAATGCCAAGAACAAGGGGGGGAAGCCAATTCTGTCACCGGGGCTGGGAAAAAATTAGTTCTGCAATAGAGTCAAAATGGGGTAAAAACCCAATTCAACAATGCGGGGGGGAGGCATCAACAGTTCTGCAGTGGATAATGAAAAGTGAACTTCTCCCCTGTTCAGAAAGCTTGCCTGGAGTTGTACTCACCTTTGCAGGATGATTGGAGTTGGGAGCGTGTTATCTGGAGCACACTAAAAAGAGAGAGGACACTGTATAAATAGAAGGACGGAAGGAAGGTGCTGATGATGAATTGAAGGAAGAAGATCAAGTTAATGAGAAATGAAGAGAGAAGAAAGGAAAGAAGGAGTTGATGAATAGAAAGAAGGAAGGAAGGAGCTGATGATGAATAGAAGGAAAGAGGTAGTTGATTACTGAAAGGAAGGAAGGAGAAATTTATGTTTGGCAAAGCCCCAAAGCCATGTTCAAGCCCAAAGGCCTCCTGAATTTTGCCCTCTCGACATCCCAATCTGACTCCCCCCACCCAATGATAAACTAAAGCAAGACTGAATGGCTCGCCCGCCCTGATACCGAAATGTGGCCCCAGACAAACTGTTTCGCCTTCAGGCGGAAGAACGCCGCCCTACCCTTGTGGTTAAAAGCCAACGGCAGGCTTCTAAACACAGCAAGGTGGGAACTCGAAGAAAGAACGAATAAGAGAGAGGAAGCCCCACCCTTGAAGGGAAAACTCACCCCTTGCACCCACGGGTGTTTGAGAACTTCAGCCGCACTCAGGCGCTTCTTGGCATCCCGCACCAGGAGCTTTGATATGAGATCTTTGGCTCCGAAAGAAATGTGAGCCCAGTCTTTGTCCGGGAACTCGTACTTCCCTTCCTGGATGCTCTCAAACAACATGTTCTGCAGAGGCGGAGGCAAAAAGACGAGGGGAAAGTGAATGGGTCGGGTTCCACCTGCAAAGTTCTGACGGAGATTGGCAGATGCGAGCCTCCCCATACAGGAACAGTCTACACCCGTATTTGCCATCCGGACTCTATCCCAAGCTATACGAATTCTGGGCACTCTCGGCCACTCACCTGGCAAGCAGGACAGGCTTCGCCGCGGTCCCAGCCGGAGTCTGTCCCGCGGTGGCCCACGAACGGCGGGTAGCCGCTCAACATGATATAGAGAATGACCCCCAAGCTCCACAGATCGCAGCGCTTGTCGTAGATGGACGCCTCCTCGTTGAAGGCCCCCATGACCTCCGGGGCCATGTATTCCGCTGAGCCACACTGGAGAGGGTGGGAAGAAAAACCAAACAGAGGACAAGGGGACGTTAAGGTGCGAGATCCACATCCTGTTGCGAAAGAAGAAAACCAAATACAAAACAAAAAAAAACAACACCCACAACTTGGAACGTAGCCTGCCTCTGTGTTCTCATTATGCGCTGCAATTTTATCGGCTATCATTCCAGGAAGCTGCAATCTGAGCCTCCCCACACAAAGGCAGTCTACCTCTGATTGAAAAAAACCATGATGAAGGGGGGAGGAAAAGCCTGCCCCTCCTCTCCCTCCCCTCTCAGCAGGATTTCTAGAAGCACTCAGCCAATGACTGCCACAAACAGGATGCTGGGTTGGGACCAGCCAACCAACCAGTCCTGCAACAGACACGGGGGCACACAAAACACACAACTTTCTGGAAGGCAACACCTTGGCTTGGCTAAAAAAAAAAGGGGGGGGAAGTAGCTGGCTACAACCAACACACATCCACCACCCCCCATCCTGGTTTCACCCGGCACAGACTGTGGTCCCCTCCTCTCTGCATCCTCCAAGGACAATTCTTCCCCTAAGCATTCCAGGCAAGCTCGAGGGAAGCCAGCCAAGTAGCATACAAGGGACCCAGCAATTCCAGGAAAAGGAAAGAGTCACGGGGTCAAAAGCTCAGCCAGCCATTGCCCAACGTTTTTCCATGCCTCAGAGAAGAAAGGAAGGGGTGTTTTTTTAAATATATAAATCACCCGGAGGTGGCTGGGGGGGGGGGAAGCATGCAGAGTTCTCCACCTCTGCAAACCAACACTCTTATCCAAACTCCCCCAATGAAGGGGGAATAACATGCAATAAGATATGATCACTCCAAGCCTATGGGAAGTGTTTCCATGTTTTAAAAGAAATCAGCTTGGGTCACGTGGCACACCCAAACACATGTTAGCATCGTTATATTCGATTCTGATCCACACTTCCTGGTTGTGGCTTTACTGCTGACTGGAAGAACAGAGAGACCCCCACCCTGTATCACCAAGTGATCTGTTTTTTTAAAGGGGAGTTAAGCGGAAAACTGGGAGTTCTCGGTGCACAGATTGCCAAGGAAGGCCTAAGCCTCCATGCCCAAGCACAGTCTACCTCTATACTGTATTATAAAACAATGCACAAGAAAGTGCTGCCCAAGCAGAACTAATTATGGCAGAAGGAATAACAAAGTGGACTTTGAAGCACGGTTCACCAAGGTGATTTTTGCCCAGAAGGGAGAGGGCATCTAAAAGCTGAAAGAGTTCAGTGTTTAGTGCCGAGGAGAAAGAAACAGTGGAAGGTCTGGTCATCACAGAGGAAAGAAGAGTTTAGATGGGAAGCTTTCTTGAGCACCAAGAGGGCATCTATCGGAGAAAGATCTGGCTGCTGAGGACTTCACCCTCGCCATCGTTCAAAGGGAAAAACAAGGTGAAGGAAGGAGCCAGAAAAACATAGATGATTAACATAGCCTCAACCTCCAGAGATGAAAGTCTGCATTGCTCCTGGACTCAAGAGAGACACGTGGTGTGTGCACTTATATAGTCTTGCTAATATACATGGTATTTTCTGCAGGTCTCCACCTGCAAGGAGCTTACAAATCTAGATTTCAGAAGGGAAGAGAGAAAATAGAGCAAAGAGAAGCACTGGGGTGTGTGAGAGAGATACGCATGCAAAGCCATTTCTATATTACATCTTTTAAACACGTTCCTTATACGAAGGGGACTGGGCATCCCTTGTCACGGAATAGGTTGAAGATGCCAAGGGGAAGTTTGTTCCTCGTATTTGTTGGCTAGATTAAAATCCTGCTTTTCCGTCAGTAGGCTCAGGGCGGTGTGAACGGCTTTCCTTCCCCCCCCCCACCACAACCCTGTGAGGTAGGTCTGGCCGCCCTTCCCTTTCAAAAAGGGGGTGAGCCAATAAAAACACCTGACCCAGAGGAAAGCCTCAAGACCAGGGCAGGGGCTGGGCGCCTCGGCCAGATTCCTCCGCAGGTCTGCAAGGGAGAGGCTGGCTTCTCCAGAGCCCAGCAACGCTCCAGAAAGGATGATTTACAAGCCAATGCCAACAGCATTCGCAAACGAGGGCCGAGTCTTCCAGCAGCTTGTCCGGTTTTATTTGGCTAGGTACCCCATTTGTCCAACCCTCCCCATTGCAGCCGGCGCTCTCTCCCTTTCCCCCTTTCCTTACTGCTCCTTCTTCCCCAAAGATTTCACACACACATACACCCTTCATGGTGGTTTTTCTCAAAACAGTTTTGAGATGCAACGGATCTGCTTTTGCTTTTGACACAAAACAGTGGATGGGGGAAAGGTAGGGAAAAAGGGGGAGAAGAAAATATAACCTTCCAGCAGCGCAAGCGAGATGCAAGCCAGAATTCAACCAGATGCATAATCTGCTTTCAGTGCGCATACGACCGCACTACCCACCCCTTGAGCCCGACAGTAAATCTGGCTCCCAAACGCAGAGAGGCAAGCCAAGATCTCCTCCCCCTCCCTCTTTCCTTCCGCTCAAACCCCACCGCCCCACACGCAAGCCTCCGTCTGACCCACTTCTACCTCCGCAACAAGCTGTGGGGTGGGGAAGAGACAGATGGGAGGTGGAGGGGAGAGCCCCGACACCGAGATCGGCCAGCCAATCGTCTCGGCTGTTGCTAAGAGCAAAAAAACCCCTCCGCTCGACGTCTCTCTTAAAACCAGCCTGCCAGACCTGTGTGGAAAGGAAGCCGGATGGGGCTGGCGGGGTGGGATGGGATAGGGGGGAAGGGAAGAGGAAATTAAGACCATTATGTAACCCAACGCAAGCCATTCTCTTTAAAGGCCCACCAGGTCTCGGAGGAGGGCGCAAACCGGCTGAGCAGACAAGGTCCTTTGCACAGCCACCCTATCAGGCAGAATTCAAAGCAGCAAAACAGAAGACAAAAACACAGGGCTCCTTAAAGACTAAACATTATATATTAGAGCCAGGCTGGCCACGCTAGAGAGCCTGACTCAACTCAGCCCTGCGATTGAGTCAGACTTTGTGTTCAATTCCCTCCTGGTGGTTGTTGGGAAAATGCAAGAACCAGCAAAGCAGATATCGAAAGGCTTAATGGAAGATTGCCATGGCATAAAAACACTAGCCAACGCAGGGTAGGATTCTCGACTTCAAATTAACCCACTACACATAGAACACACTGTCAATTCAATTCAAAGGCAATAAAGATGTATTGAAAGGTGGGGGGAAATACGCAGAAAGTACACCTGCAACACTGCGTGGCCTCTCTTGTCAAGGCAGGGTCCTCTCATAAAGAAAAGCAGATTTGTGAATTCAAGGTAACAGTCTCCTTTCCTAACTCAAAAAGCCCAAAACTACGCATTTAAAAGCCGTCGAGAACCATGTTGCTAAACAATATTTGAAATGACGTCTCAGCCGAGTTCTGGAAGAGAGAGGCACAACATAAAGAGCTCCATGTGGGGTAAATGGCTTTCCTCCTGCCCATTTTATCCTCTCAAGAACCCTGCAAGGTAGGCCAAAAGGCAGGAGAAACAAAGACACTGGGCCACATTGCACAGTGCAAGGACAGACCAGGACCTGGATCTCTGGGATGTTCGGTTGCCCTTCTATTATAGACCATTTAAAAAAATACATAAATACCTAATGCATGAACTCCCGTCTCCTGTTATTTAAAGCTTACCGGAGTGAGCAGCTCAGGGGTGGAGATGGGAGAGCAGTCTCCGTTCATCTTGATCCCACTTCCTAAATCAAAATCACAGATTTTTACCGGGGAAACCTAGGATTGCAAATAAAGAGAGAAGGTTAAGGCCAGCCACTATTGTTGTTGTTGTTAACTATTATGGTTATATTTGAACAAAGCCCACTGTACAGATGGAATTTCCCATGCAAAACCTTGAGATTTTTATATATTTTTTTAAAAAATATCTATCCTGCTTTTCCCTCGCAAAGGAGGAGATACTCAAAGCAGTGTAAGAGACACCAAAAGCATTTAGACCTACATTTGGTTTTAATGGCCAGAATCCTACCCACAGTGTGCCCATGCATAAGGGAAGCCCTGTGAAATTACAGCAAGACACTGCTGCTAATTAATAAGAGGGCAACCCTGGATTATACAATTCTTCACTGGAAATTAAAATGTGAGGTTCCAAGAGGCCACACAATGATCCGACCTATCGTATCAGAGACACACTTAAGGTATAGCTTACCTGGTCAGCACTCTCACAGAGAATATTTTCTGGTTTTAAATCTCTATGTGCTATTCCTGTTTAACAAAAGGGAGGGGAAAAAAGCAAACTGCTGTCACAGTTGAGTCAACACTTTTTGCAAGCATCCTTGAAACCCTTTCTTTCTTTGCTTAACGGGGAAATTTTAGAAAGCATAAACTAGGTTAGAAGACTGTGGTGCCGGTGCAAAGATGGCCAGGAAATTCTTGTCCCTTTAAATCTTGTTACTTAATTCATAAGCTATATTCTTCCTCCCAAGAAAAATATTCCTTTCATATGAATGACTTTGCTGGAGAAATGCCCATTAAGAGCCCCAAATTCTGAAATGTAACTCATTCAACAGGGGCGTTACTGCATGCATTCCAATAATAGAAATACCCACTTTATAGACAATAATGGCCATTAGTTTAAGAAGCTTGGGTGCTAAACCTAAAGAGCAGAATAACTTTGTTCACCCATTCAAAGACACTATTTTGAAAATGATGCAGTAAAAACAAGCAGCATATAGGTTTAGATCAAGCCGAAAGGAGAGGAAAAAGAGCATTCGCCAACACGGCCACCCCAGAAGCTGATTTAAAAGGCCCTTTCCCCCCCCATTCGCTCACCTTTATTGTGCAAAAAATTAAGGGCACTGGCAATATCGTGGACCACCATGCTGGCCTCCAGTTCGTTGAAATGGCGCCGGCGGTGGATGTGGGTCAAGATGGAGCCTAGAAAATGGAGCAGAGAGAAAGTAAAGCCAATTTAACAAACCTATCAGCCAGGCATCACTCCAGGTCAGACGTTCATTTCCTCTTCATATGATGTTCTCCCACTAGACACGCAAACCTTTCAGTGCTGCATTTCCCGAGATGGAAAACACACCATCTCCCCCAATCGATCCATCAGAAAACAGAAGCTAATCTGCCAGCCGAAGAGGCCGGCCGGACGTTCGTGTCAGAACACAGGCAGGCTTTTTACTTTTAAAGACCTGTTTTGGTTCTAAGGGGCTTCATCCACAGAGAGGCACAAATCCCTGAATCAGCACAGGACTTGTGGAGGAACAACAAATCCCGACCGGCCGGAAAGGGCCTATCCCTGCCCTAAAGCAGCTGAAGTTCAAAACAATTTTACCATTCCGCACTCAATTGCCGCCACCCTCTTTTGTACACACAGACCGACCAATTTTCCAGATTTAACTTGCCTCCTCTCATCTTTTCAAACACGAGGTAGAAACGGTCTTCTTCTTCAAAGAACTCAATGAGCTCCAGGATGTTCCTAAAACAAAGGACAGAACCCGTGGACAGAAAAGGAATTAAACCAGATCTGAGGAAGGCATGCATGCATTCTCAAAAGCAACTTTTGGTTTTCTAAATGCAGGGAGGAAGATTTTATATATACACACACACTTTACTTTCTCTCTCTCTTTGCATGTTATCTGAAGCCCTACAACACAGATACATTTGAGCCCCCCCCCCGAAGCAAGCAAGCTACAGATCTTTCCACGTGAGTACCTCCCAGTAGGTACCTGTGTCCTTGACATTGATACAGCATCTCCACCTCTCGGAAAACCCGGCTTCGGATGTGTCCAAGACGCTTCTCAATTATCTTTTGAGGGGGTGAGGAGAAGAAAGAGGGGCAATAAAGTTGAGCTAGGTAATTTGCACCGGATGATCAGCATGCATGCCTTGCCATAAATACCCCAAGAAAAAGGCTTTAAGATGTTCCCCTGACAGGCTTACTTTCTGCATGCGGGGAGCTTTCCCAAAGCTTGGAAATTAGGCAAGCTATACCCTCAAGGCTAAAACATCAGCACCAATGTTTCAGCATAAACATTAAACCTATTACCTTGGCCATTAGAATTCACCTCGCCCTCTAAAAATTAACAGAAGACGATATGAAACGGACTCTGATCAGTAGGTTGTATCCCGAGGATGTATGACTGCAATTCTGGAACCCTGAGTTCAAATCCACACTCAGCCATGGAAACTCACTTGGAGGACTGGGAGGGGCAGTGGGGGTAAAAACCACTCCTAGATTACTTCACAAGCAACCTGATGGCACAGAACAAGGAGGAATTTAATGATCATGTTTCATTTTCCAGCCTTGGAATGCAAAATGTGCTCAAAGCCTCTTTCTGTGTTGCCCAAACCCTGCCACTCCGTCCTCCAAGTGTGCTGCGCAGAGCAGTCCACCCCGGTGCAATCTCTCCCAAAGCCCCATTTTCCAAAATGACAGAAGTTGTGGCTTTTAATCTGAAAAGCAAAATAAAGGGGAAATGGGGGAGGAACAGCTACTCTCTTGGCAGCTGCTTTCCGTAATTTTTTTAAGAAGTCATTTTGAAAGGGGTTTGAGGGTCTGCCCATGGGGGCTCCTCATTCCCCCCCAGTTGCAACCGCCCGCCCCCATCTCACAGCAAGAATCAAATTTGCAAAATAAACAAGCAGACCAATCACGCCCTTTTAATACACCCCAGTGAAGGAAAGCAAGGGGCAATTTTGCAGGGGGTGCAAACCCCCCTAGAAATGTTCTGCATGGCTGCTTTAAAGCCTCAGGGATGAAATGGAAGAGATTTTGGGCCGAGGGTGAAGAATTCTATTCCCCTTTTCGGCTTTCTTTTGGGGCTGCCTTTTTCTTTTTTTAAAAACACAACCCAAGCCCCCCAAAACCCCACAAAAAACAGTTGCCTCCTCCTCCTTACGTTTTTTTTTCCTTCCTGGCAATAAAAGAAAGAGACAACAGATGTTCCTCTCCCTCTCGGCAGGAGTGGGTCATAACCTTGCCACCTCCACACACACACACACGTGACACTGCTAGAACCAGGCCTTCTGACTCAAACATCACCCGACAGGCGTCCTGCGTCCACTGTTTGGGACGCCCCAGGAAAGAATTTGGTAGGGCAGGTTTTCCCAAGAGAGAAGCGGGGAAAACAAAGCAACCCCCTTGTGCTTCTGGAGGACAGCCAGACACCTCACCCCACCCCCTTTGCCGGCTTGACCGCACGCAATACTTCTATACTCTCCCCCCTTGAACAAAATAAAAGGAAAAATAAAAATAAATAAAAAGGACCGTCAGATGTTAAAAGTAGGAACCTGGATTTCATCCAGCCCTCAAGCCTTACTCTCACGGCTGCCTTGACCGCCACCAATCTGATCGAGTCAACCTCTTATCTGTTCCTTCCCGCCCTGCAATTGTGGATCGACCCAAAAACCCATGATTGCAGGTGTCAAAAAATAAGTTAGGATCATCCTTCTCACACCCACAGATTTTGGCTCAGATTCTCCACCCTCCCCGCCGGAGGCCTTGTAGGACGGGACACACAATAGCCCCAAGTTCCCAGACAGAAAACACACACACACACAGCGCTTTCCAGAGTGCCGTCACTGGAACCCGTACCTTCACTGCATACTCTTTGTTGGTAATGAGGCTGACGCAGGCCTGGACTTTCGCATGAGCCCCTTCTCCAAGGACCTCTTCCTGGAGCTGGTAAACATCTGAAGACCCCGGAGGGGAAGAGAAGACCGGAAAAGAAATGCAAAATTCAGAGAGGTTTCCTCAGAATGACATTTCTCAACCACAAACCAGGTACAGTATTTCCAGCCGGCTTCTAGTTTTAAAAGGCACAGCAGGACAAATGGAACACAGACCGTTCTTCTATTCCAGATCCTGACCCCTGGTCCCTCCATCTCTTAAGCTTCTGGCCCTGAGCGCTTCCAGAGAGGACACCGAGGCCTGGAGTACAACGTGCACAACCTGCAGAGTTCACAGCGTGCAAATCGTGCAAATTCAAGTGGTTTTTCTTTTCTTCTTCTCAGGCCTTGTAAGGATTGCATCAGCTGTTTGCTTTCTTTGTTCTTTGGGTCTGGGAGATTTGCACGGAGATTTCCTTCGTGTACAAACCCGCTTTTGAAGGTATTGCACAAACATGTTGATATACGGCTCTTTTAACAATAGCCTTTTGTTATCAGCAACCCCGTGATCCAGGAGAAGTTTAAACGGAAATTTCCTTGCCCAAAAGGGAGACAGGAATAAGCGCCCCCTTCCTCCTCACTCAGAGTGTACCATACAGTGGACCACTGACTTTAGACAGTATCCTTACCTTCGAACCTCCCTGAAAAGCTGTCCGTTGCCCGGCACCTTTTTTTCTTCTTGTTCCTTTTCTTGGCGTTTGGGATATCAATGGGCTGGCTTGAAGGCATGTCTAGTCCAACCAGAATTTGTATCCGAAACAAAAGAGTCTTCGTAAATCAGAATTCGAACACAGAACCCAGCAAAACACATATTGATTTCTGGCACTTAACGGCATGCCGTGCCTTGAAGCTGATGGAAAGCTTAATCTGTCAACTGAGATACAATTCAAGACTGAGCCCTCTACTTATCCTTTAGAAGATCAGGGAAATAGAGAGATGTCGTCCCCCACCCCCAGTTCCCAAAGCCTATGGTGGCCCTCCAAGAGGGATAAGATGAACACTCCTAAGGGGAGTGACTAGGGCACAAAAGTAAGCTCTTTCTGCCCCCCTCCATCTCTCACATTTGGCATTCAACAGATAGACTGCCCCTGCATGCAGAGGCTCTGCCAAACTATCACATGTCCTTTGAATTCATCTGCTCTCATTAAAAAGGATGTTTTTCAATACTGCCCTCTTGCAATCCAGTCAGATTCAAGACCCCTAAGCGTGCTCAACGGATAGGGGTGAATAAAAATATATTTATTTACAGTACTTTCAGATTCTTTGCCCACTTTTCTCCCAAGCTGGGGACTCGAAGTGCCCCCCCCCAGCAAAATCCGACAGATATACGTATGCAAGAACAACATAATTTTGGACTGTTTTTATACGTTACCATCAAGCAAATCAATATACAGTAATTAAATGAAACACCCCTCCCTCCCACGCTTTTACACTGGAACCCAGTGTTGCTCACCGAGTCGAGACGGACATTCAAAGTTGAAGACTGACTCCAGGTGATTGGCTTGGGAAAATTCCAGGTCGAAAGGATTCTGGCCCTAGAAAGCCAGATGAAAGAAAGTTGTGTAAAAAAAAGCACAAACCAGAATAAAACGTTGGTTTGGAGGATCATAAAAATCAGCTAAAAGCAATGGGACGGGAGGCCAAGTGTGCGGTATTTGGCGCAAGGGGGTATTCTCACCAAGACATATACTCCTTTCTGGTTTTAAAATTTCCCCCATTTGATAAAATAAAAATGAAGCTGTGGAGGCGGCTGGTCGGAGTGGCAGGCTGCCAGCTGCCAACCCTCATTATGGCTTTACAAGGGCATGAACCTTAGTTCCTCTTACTGTAGCTAAAAAAATAAGTATTATCTCTTCAACATTCATGGCAAGAAGATTCAGGGTGATTTAGTCAAAACTTTAATTGGACTGTAAGTTTAAGCCCAATACTTTTTGAGACAGACGAACAGCATACTTTCTAACTCCTGATGGCATTCTGTGCATTTCTCCCTTTTTTTTTCTCTTTGTATTTATGTTGTAAAAATTCACACACACACGCAGTTACTGTGAATCAGGCTTACTGATACTTAGTGAAACCTGCCTCTATCCAAGCCAACACAGAAACTTTGTCCGTCTTCAACTTCTTTTCACTGTTTCCTGTCCAGCCACAAAGTGGTTACGAGGTGGTCAGACGGCCATGGGTTTCACCCCTGTCTGTGCTGTATTTGCTTGAATGCTCTTCTGCATTATTTATTTATTTTATTTATATCACGCCTATCTAGTCGGTTAAGACCACTCTAGGCGGCTTACAAGAAACATACAGCAAAATGTGTGTGTTGATTTTCAAAAAAAAATCTTTCTTGTGGACTAGTAACTTTTGGGGCTTCGTTTGAAAACCTGTAATATTTTATTTATTTATTAGATTTTTATCCCGCTCTTCCAGACATATGTCTACTCAGGGCGGCTCACAATAAAATGAATGATAAATAAAATAATAATAAAATAAAATAATAAAACCCTAGCCATGCTCTCCTCGAAAAGAGAGGCGTCTTGTACGTCCAGACTAGCTTCTCCACATTTTTCTCTCCTTCCAGCCTCTGATAATAAAATCAAAACACACAGGCAAAGGTAGGCGACTCCCCAGGACCCGGCGGCAGGGGGTGACAGGGCAGAACAAGCCACAGGCGGTGGCGGGAAAGTCGTCCAGCCCCATCATCAGCTGGGAGGAGAGGCTGATGATATGGAATGGGTGAAGCCTGAGCCGGAAAACTCCCACGTTCCCTTTGCTGAAGCTGCTGGCCCTGGAGGACAAACTGGGAGGGCACCCGCAGCAGCCAGCCGCCGGGCGGTGTTCCCAGCAGGAAAAAGGAAAGCCGGCGTCGCCCTCGCCCAAACAGCAGACTCAGCAAAAAGAGAAAAACGACACGCGGCCCAAAGCCTTTTCTGGTGTTTATTTCTTTGGAAAGCAACACCACCTCTCAACAAACTGGCTAAGGTGCCGCATTTGTAGGCACCGAACCATCCCTTTCGTCCTGATGGAGGGAAGGGATCCTTCGAGCACGAGCAGAGTCCCTTGATGCGCAAGGGTATCCTGCATAGCACTCTCTGTGCATGCTCAGGGGATTCCCTCGGCTTGCCCTGAGGTTTAAGCTCCCATCTCAAACCCTCATTCCTCCCCACTCCGGCACACTTTGAGAATGTCGAGCGGACACCAGCTACGGCTTCTGGGTTATTCTGTATTGCGTGGAACCCGGAAACTTTAAATCAGGCCAACGATACAGGACAGACAACAGCAACAGAGCACTTGAAATGTCTTCACTCAAGAGAGTGACCAACGAAGTCCTGAAGAGGACGGAGAAAGACCACGGGATGGTTACAGCTGGTCATTCAAGGATTAAAAAATGGGGGAAATAACTCTTATTGGCCAAAGAACCCTGGGATGTCAAGTTGGGATGTCAAGTTGGATGCAACTTTACATCCACGTTTCGGGTTGTCGCATCCGAAATCCAGACAGCCGCCCACTCACTGCCTGGTCTTGCAAAGTGAAGTGTGAGGTGCTGATGCCCATGATTTGCCTCCATTATCTCCTCACCGACAGGGGTGTCGGTTGCCAGATTCCCCCCCCACTCAACTTCACGAAAATTCATCTTTGCGCCCTTTTCCAGCCTATCAAACTTCACACGCATACAAGAAACACTGCAGCACCGTGCAGCCTCGCCTCCTCCACACTGACTAGACTCAAATCTGTGCATACTTGCAAAATCCTTGATTTTTTTTTAGCATCTAGCATTTAAAAAAACACATCAAAATCCTTTGTCTCTTTATTTGGGGGTGAGAGGGGGAGGAACAAAACATCCCTGGTGTCTCTTTCCCCTTCTCTTTGGCTTTATCTTTTTTAACATTAAAACCATTAAAAAAAAAAACACTGCAAGAAGCCAGCTTTGGTTACGTAAGGTTGCCACCTCTCTCGATGCCCATCCCTCCTTCCCCTTTCCTGGGCCTCTTGGCCACCCTCGCACCCAGACCACGAGGTACAACAGAAGTTACATCATTCCTGCCCTCTTGCAAGTTTTTTTTTTTAAAGCGAGAGAAAGCAGGCACAACACAAGCACAGCAGGAAACCGAAAACACCCACACAAACCGAGGGGTAGACTCCATAAAACACCAGTGCATCTGTTCGGTCGACTGCCCTAAACTGGCCTCTTGGCCACCCTCGCACCCAGACCACGAGGTACAACAGAAGTTACATCATTCCTGCCCTCTTGCAAGTTTTTTTTTTTAAAGCGAGAGAAAGCAGGCACAACACAAGCACAGCAGGAAACCGAAAACACCCACACAAACCGAGGGGTAGACTCCATAAAACACCAGTGCATCTGTTCGGTCGACTGCCCTAAACTGTCCGCCAGCAACACGCGCGCCCCCCCCCCGCCCAAATCACTCTCTAGCCCCTTCTGGCTGCTCTCCCCTGCCTGGTTTTGCAAAATATTGAGTTTTAATATCACGCTGCTCCTGTTCAAGCCGATGCCAAGAAACAGTGCTCTTTAATTCACTTTTTAAAAAAATAAATATACATGCAGAACTTGGGGGGTTTGTTTTTCCATGCAACCAAGCTAAGCCTTTATGGCGCTGTGATCCTTTTTGTTTTTTGGTTTATGCCCAGAGACGACAGGTTTACGGCAGCTTTACCTCTTTGGAAACTATGACCAGAATGATTTCACAAAAATATTGGAGAGTCTACGTTTCTTTCTCGAACACACATACGCAGCCAATCCAGCCTTTTCCAGTTTTCTTCTGAACCGCCAAGGTCACCAATTTTCAGATTCAGACAATTATCCCAGGGCGGCAAATAAGCCCAAGGCAAAGCCGTCTGAAACAATGACAAAGCCCATGTGGAAAAATCCCAACCGTGACCCAGGCCAGGGCGTGTGTCAAATGCAAACCCGCACCTTGGGTTTTGAGGATGGGAGAGTCCCATTTTTAATTACAGGTGGACAGGCAGAGCTGGTTTTTCAAATAAGGAAATCAACAGTACTGCCAACTGCACCGATTCAGCAGGTATATTCTGCTCGGGACAAAGAAAGGGGTTTGGTTTGTGTGGGTTCTCTTTTGGGTTGACAGGGCTGCATTCAGCAGACAAATTCCCCCTCGACGCCGAAACACACATAAAAATGGCTCCCGAAATAGCTTTCAAAAATCCCAGAAGGGGAACCTGAAATCCCACAAGCCTTGAGCTCAGGCAAAAATTCACTCTTCCAGCCCCAAATCATCAAACCAAAACTCCCACCTGTCCTAAACCGGTCAGTATGTGGGATAATGGGAACTGTAGTCCAACAACGCCTAGAAACACATGCCCCTCCCCTGAACTCAGCGCTCCCTGCATTTAAACAATCTGGCCAACTCTCCATTTCATAGGTACCATTTGAAGTTTTCAAAAGAGGTATGCAAACCTTCAGAAGCTCCCCTTTCTCCCCAGGGTCTCCTCCCACGTTGGCCCTGGACAGTCCGCCTGTATGGCCCGCTGGCCTGGCCGTTTCCTTGGCATTCTGAGGACTAGCAGCTTGGGTAGGTCTGTTTCGGTTTAAAGCCGGGAAAGGCTTGCACTTCAAGGGACGCAGAAGTGAAGGCAAACCAAGTGTTCTGAACGGGGTCTGAACATAAATTGCCTTTGTTACTTCCCCCCCCACCGCCCCGACTTGAAGCCTGAATATAAATGCTTCGGAATGTGAGAAAAGATTTATTTTTTGGTGAGAAACCCAAGCCTAGGAAACAAAATGTTTTGTTTGTGAAAAAGACAACCATGGGGCGAAGCCAAGCCTCCCACTACCGAGGGGGAAGCCCCAAAGCTGAGTCTCAGCAGCTACTGTCTGAGAGACAGGCGAGACTGGCATAACCAGTCCGGCCAAGCACCCAAGAGACGCAACGCCAGCCCTCACGCGCTCCAGGGGAAGCGCTTGCCAACATCCCATAATTAGGTACAGCCAGCAGTGAAGACGATGTGAACCATGTGAACCGACAGGACAGGGTGGGGAAGAAGACAGATCCCGGGGTGGTTCTCAGAAATCTCGACAACCCCGGCGGAGGAATTGCGTGAACTGGGGTGGACTTTTCGATCAGCCCAAGTTCCTTCGCTCACCGACTCAAGTCACCCCCACCTGCGTAATGGGCACAAGACGGAGAGACCAGCGAAGCCGAGGAGACCAGGGCATGTCAAAGCGGCAGCCAGAAGCCTTTGGATCCCAGATTCTCTCACAAGCAAAAGGCGAAGGCTGCACATTTCGAGGGCTCATCCGACAGATGTCGTGGCCAAGCCAAGCAAACCACAGTGGCACACTGGGGGGCATCTATGGTATTAACGATGCCTGGCATTTTTCAAAGCAGGCACCCCTCTGGCAGCCAGAATCTTTCCTGAGGCTTGGAAACAGCCGCTGGCAATTATCTTCGCATTTTTAAGGACTAGAAGCTTGACTGTTTCTTTTCTTTTTAGATTAAAGCAGATCTTCTCAATCCAGATGCAACCGTTGCACTAACACTGTGCTCTGGAAGCCACCCGCAAATCCAGAAATTCGTCACAACAATAATCTAGAAGAAAAAGTCCGCTTCTGCATGGCTGAGGATGCCTTCCCCTCCATGAAGAAAGAAGGTTCCCCTTTGGTCCCGCCACAACATCTCACTGTCCATCCAACTTTGCAACCCACCTGAACACACTGCTTTGAAAACCAGGACAGAGTGGGGTCAATCCCCCCCCCAAATGCTGCTGGATGGAGGGTGAGCATTATGGAATGGAATCTCTAAGAAGGGACATGCCTCACGAATGACATAAAAACATCCAGATCCCAGCCTATAAACAGTCACGGATCAGCCATCTTGCCTGCTTCGGAGTCCAGTGTAACTCAGAAGCCTGCATGCACTTAGAAGAAAAGTTGAGGGCATCACTTTTTAAAGCGGCTTTATGAGTTTGTTTTTTAAACTGACAAACTGCATGTTCCGTTGAGGTTCATAATTCCCTGACAAACCCTTCTATTTACCCCAGAGAAATCCAAATTCACAATTGGTTCTTCAATCCATACCAAAATCTCTAAATCAGATCCAAAGATACCCAGTTTAATTAAACCATGATGAGGTGTGTTTTTGGGGGGGGGGAGCCAGAACGATCACCCCTTACCTTAAAAGAACGATGAAAGCCTGTTAGTTCTGTTTTCTTCTGCACCATCTTGAGGTTGTTGTTTTTTTTTAAAGAAAATGCAGGAAAGGAGGTTTGGGAAAATAGAAGAAACAAAAGATGGGAAGGAAAGGGTGGGGAATTTAGATGGAGCTAATCCAGATCGACTGATGGAGGTCCTAAAAAGTGAGAGGGAAGGAAGGTGTTAAAGAGAGTTCAGGAAAAAAAATTAACCCACTTTTTCAGCTCCCTCCAAATTGCAACTTTCTACTGTCAGAAGTTCATGGAATAAACCAGGAGCGGTTTCTTGTTATTTTTGCCTGCATTTACATTATTCACATCTTTAAAACTTGTCAGAAACAACCCGTATAAGACCTCAAGGTCCATAGTCTGTGTCAGTACATTTTAATTTCCACCCAAGTTTTGTCACTGAGTGATTGGTAGGGATGTGTAAGTTGACCAAAGTCTGAGAACAGACTGAAAGATTTTATATATATTTTATATATATATAATCAACGAAATAAGGATAGCAATAAAAAAAAGTGCCGCTTCCTTCTCCTGGCTTGCACTTTGGACCTCAAGAAAGGAGTCGATCCTGAAGTCCAGAAATGCAGAAAGGAAATGAAAAAACAAAACAAAACCCAGTTAAGGAGGCGACGGGGACTCCAAACCAAACACACACACACAAACCCTTGGCCTCTTTCTTCTAAGGGTGGGGGAGAGATAATAAAAAGGAGACAGATGTGCCGTGGGCCCAGCAGGAACGGCTTAAGCAAAACAATACAATAAGGAATCCTCTTTTTTTAAAGCATGCATGCATGCATATGCATATACATACATATATAAACACACATATACATATATACATATACATATACACACACACACACATACATATATATATAATGCTGAAATATTTAACAGCTGTTCTTTAAGAGGCCCTTGCCAGGGAGCAGATTAATTAGTTTGCAAAGGGCAGCTGCAGAAAACATTTATTCCCTTGGTGGAGGAAAGAGATCCATGCTGTTTTTCTCTTCTTTTTAAAAAAATGACATTAAAAAAATTAAGCAAGCTTAGGTTTTGGAAAGAGTCAACGCCCCCCCCAAAAGGGTGCGTGTTTTCTCTCGCTGTCTTTTATAGGAATATAAAGACAGATCAAGAAAGAGGCCGATCCGTAAAGACCAAACTTTACTTTACTCTTGGATGGCCACCTGCTTTAGGTTTTTCCACGCACATACCCATGTATCTCGCTTTGTTTACACCCGCACACAAGCCTGTCGGTCTCAATTAAGAGAAATACTGTACCCCCAATTTAGAACAGGCGGCTCCAAAGTTGGCCAAAATACCAAAGTCACGGATGTTTCCCATAAAACTGAACCCCGCTTTGTCACCGCCTTGGGGGCCCCCATCTGTAAAACCGGGGTTGGAAAGGGAGTCTGCATGGTGTTCATTTGATTCTGCTCTTTCACTCCAGCGCCACCAGGAATAAAATCCATGCCAACCCACCCCCTTTAATTTTTTAAAAAGCCTTTTAATATATAATTCCTGCTCACCATCCCCCCAATACATCTACCACACACCCCTCTAATATTTTTTCTTTCCCCTTCCCCGTAAAGAAAACAAAAACAAACCCCCAACCACTTTCAACGTGATCTGGTTGCAAACCAGAATTTTCCCCTGCATTAAGGGTGCTTCTCCCCCTTCCCCCATCTACAGCCACCTCTTAAATACTATTGGGGGGAGAGAAGCAGAAAGATTAGAGCAATGCCCCCCCGTCCTTTTCCATCTGCAGCCTCCCCATCATCTCTTCTTTCCTTGCAAAGCTGGTTAGGGGGGAATGGCATTGAATCTCCCTCCCACCCACCCACCCCTCTTTCCCTGGCAAAGGCGATGCAGCGAGTGAGCGTTTGCAAAAACAGAAGGGGAGGGAGGGGAAAAAAAGCAGAGATGCAGAGAACATTAGGAGTCTGCTTTTTAATTTGGGGGGGGAGAGGGTTAAGACCCGGTTCTCCACCACCCCACCTTTCTTTTGCAGGAATATATTGGCATGATTAAATTTGGGGGTGGGGGGAGACCCACAATGCAGTCGTTCTTGCAACAGTAGGCCGAGATTTCCATACTCACTAGGACTGAGAGAAAGGGGAGGGTGTCTCTCAGATAAATTCAGATTTATTCAATGGTGGGGAGGGGACGGTGGACAAGACGCAGTTCTGGAAAAGCGAGATCGGCTCAGCCCTTCACCCGAAAGGAAGGAGCCCGGGTGGAGTGGGGGGTGGAACGGCTCCCTTTCTCTCATAAATCCCGATTTAATTCTTGTTTTGTTGCAAACGCAACACAATAGCACTGGTTCGACAAAACAAAAAGCAGAACCGAGACCACAAGAGTCCGGATGTAGCCGGAGTGGGGGCGATCTGAATAAAAAAAGGGGGGGTTGTCTCCTTCTTTCTCTCTCCCTCCCCGCCCCCCTCATTCAATGCAGCTTTATTTCATGCTTTTTAAAAAGGGGGGGGCGCAACACACTGACTTTTGCAAAAGCCGACTGCAAGCGGACGGCGCGGGAGGGTGGGTGTCTCGCTCTCTCGGTGCCCCCCCCGCAAATCTCTCGCCCTCCCTCTCTAATTCTTCTCTCCCCTCCCTCCCCCTTGCCGGCTTACCTGGCTCGGGCAGCTCCGCAGTGCCGGCGCCACTGCTGCGGCGGATGGAAAGGCACCGACGCCCGGCTGGAGGGAGAGGTCGGGGGGAGAGAGAGCGAGGCGGAGTTGCCGCGGGGGCGCCCGAGACGCGCTTTATATAAGGGGCGGAGGGGGCGGAGCGAGGCCGAGGGGGGCGGAGCCGGGGCGGCTTGCATCAGCTGAGCTCTCCTAGGAGGGAGGGAGGGGGAGAGGGGGGTGCCCGGCTGGGAGTGCCTCTGAGCGTGAGCAGAGCGTCGTTCGGGCAGGAGAAGGAGAGGGAAGAAGCCAAGGAAGAAAGGAAGGGCCCCCGAGCCTAGGAAGGGAGGGTTAGCGAGGCCTCTGAGCATGAAAAGAGTGCGGAAAGGGAAGGAGGGTTGACGGGGCCTCTGAGCCTGGGCAGAGTGCATCGCTTCTGGGCCTTCCTTTTCTAGGAGAGAGAAAGAGGGATAGAGAATTCAAGGCAGGGAAGCTTGGCTTCTCTGAGCATGGACCAAGTGCAGGAAGGAAGGCAGGCAGGCAGGCAGGCTTGGCTGGCAGGCAGTGACCCTGAGCTCCTGGCGGCCTCTGCCTTTGGGGCAGGGGAGGAGGGCAGAGAGTAGCCGGCCAGGCGGGAAGGGCCTCTGAGCATGAGCAGAGTGCCCCGGCCCTTGGGGTGGCCTCGCTCCAGGAGATAGAGAGGGAAACCAAGGCAGTAGGGGAAGGGCAGGTAGGAAGGGGCCAGAATTGGGTCAACTTCGATTTGTTGCATCCGAGTGGCCTTTGTAGCAGAGCATCCACACCAACCCAGATCTCTCGTGACCCTCCAACTACAGGTCACGCTCTTACTGCATCCCCTCCTGTTGAAAACATCTGGGGGAAATAAATGTAGAACAGAACAGAGTTGTCTGTCTAAGAGCCACCGTTTGGAGAGGAAGGAATGAGGACCCCAACGTCTTATCCCTAAAAAGAATTCTCGCCTTAAAAGCAGAGGAGCCCTGCCAGAGAAAAGTCGTTGGCAACTTGGCATAACATAATGGTGATTCTGAAATGAATTGCCAGAGGCAGCAAGGCAGAAAGAAAGCCAGATATAGTCTGAAGGTTTCTCTCTTTCTGCCTCCTTTTTCCTGGAGTCAAAAAGACACCAGAGGGAAAGATGCCAATTGTGTTTACTCCTTTAAGCCAACAAGCACACAGAGGAGTTGGCGGCACACCTCTCCCATTGGTTTCCTCCCCTCCCGGCCCACAGATGCTCCCGCCCGGCCGTCCAGCAAAACATGTTTTCGTCCTGTACACACATACTGGGCAGAGGGGAGGGATAACATTGGCCTCTTTTGAACCGCCCTGAAACAGGAGAGTCTTGCGGGTGGGCCAACAGGAAAGAGGAGTCTAACTTCTGACCCTCTGCATGATGGATCAGGGTCTGTGTGTTGCCAAGCTGGGTCCTGAGAGACCTGAATTCGAATTCACAGTGAGCTGCAAAACTTAACTTGCTGTGCTTGGAATAGATTTTATCTCTCTCTCTCTCATAAACTCACAGGGCTGGACAAGGTGGCCCTGAAAATCCCCACAGTTCAACTTTGCCCCTTCAGCCACTCCAGCAAAGCTCCCCCCAAATCGCTCTTCCAGTGGAACCACAGAGAGGGCTCCCACTTCAAAGAGAGCCCCGCTCTCAGCTGGAGTGTCCTCAGTTCGCCGCAGGCGAGGAGGGGCAAATCTGAGGTCTGGTTATCTGCACACGTACACACCAAAGTTATCTCCGTCAGTAAAACACAGGCACATGCAGGCGCGCCGCCCTTATCGCTGCCTGCACAAGCCTGGGGATAAACAAACTCTTGCAAGAGACCACGCTGGTTTAACGTTTCCCTGCCCTCAGCGTTTCCCACTGCATTCCTCAGCCTCAAGAATTCGGTGACCCTCAGAAGCCTGCCCGGTTGACAGTGACCGGAGCCAGAGCATGGAAAGAGTGGATTCCCAGTCATAAGTTATTTGCAGCGACTACGGAATAACAAGACCTGTAACTTCTGGGGCTTGGCTGTCAGATGGGAAATCCCTGGGCATCCAACCCACCCCGTACAATAAACCCAAACGTTCCTCTCTTGTGTGTTTCCCCCCCCCAAAAAAATGACTTGAGATTTCTCCCCACACCTGATGAGAAGGCTCACTGGGAAGCCTGGCTAGCCATGTCCCTTGGGCTTTAGTCGGCGCCTGAAACCTGGCAATTGAAATTGGGGAGTAGGGGGGTAGTAAAAGGCCATCCCCTGTGAAGCCTGGGGGGGGGTTCTGCAGCCAAAGTAAGGGGGGGGGAGAATCTCAAGCGTTGGTGCACTCGCCCGACCAGGAGGTGGAGGGAAAGAACCCAGAGGCTGTTCAGCTGTTGCGCACGGTTTTTATCCAGGAACACAGATGGCCGGATTCTCAGTCTTTGGCAGCCGGCCGGGCACTCCCAGTGCAAGGTCAAACCACTGCAAGGCCACAGCCAGCCTTATGACACCAGAGAGCCTTCTCTGTGCAACTTGGCCCGGATTCCAGCAGCGAGGCAGCAAGCGCCCAGCCTCGCCTCCAAGCCCCAGTGGCGCAAAGCGCATGATGCGGCTCACAGGGAGGAGGGAAACAAAACAGGACGTTCTGAAGAAAACGCCGCCGTCGTCAAAAGCGGTCCTGGGACTTCGACTGGACTGGGCCGTTTCCCAAGCTTTGCTTTGTATCTTTGTGGGTGTGTTTGTGCGTTTGTGTGTTTGCACACAAGCGCGCTGGGATGCCACAAAGTACAAATATCAAAAAGCCAAAGGAGACAACGTGACTTCACGGCGACCTTTTGCAAAATTAAGCCCTTTGCATCCGAGGAACTCGAACCTGTTCGCGTGGGCAGAAAGCGAAACAGGACCACTGCCAAAGATCGGGTGGATGCAGAAGGGGGAGAGGAGCCGAAATCAGAGGCCTCGGAAGCCCAGGAGCGAGCTGCTTTGATTTCTGATTTTTTTTTTAGTCTGGATGATGGGTTATGGAGTGGGAAACCATTCCCTTTTTTGCTTTACAGAAGGAGAACTGGCTGAAACTTATTTCCTTGTCACATAAAATGCAAAACAAATCATATCCTTCAATGGATAAAATGCATTGAGGTTTTTGATCATAAGATGATTAATAGAAAGCGTTTTTATTTTTTGCCCTCTGCTTTGTTAGTTTTATTAGTTTCTAGCTTGGCGATTTAGGTCTCTGGCTGTGGAGCCAGAGGTTGGGAGTTCGAATCCCCCACAGGTCTTCTTTGAGAGTGAGCTGGACTCGATGATCTACACAGAGGACCCCTTCCAGCTCTGCAGTTTGAATATATTGTTTCTTATTCTTATTCTTATTCTTATTCTTATTATTATTACAGTCTGAAAACAGGAAAGTATGAACGCAACCCCACCACCCCTGCATCTCATGCTAATTCTTGGCTTCCCTTTTGAAATCAAGTTTTAGGATCTCAGCCTGCCATTTGTCGTCACAAAATAAGAAGCGGCCTTAACTGACATCTTTGCCTCAGGCAGCAAACTGTCTTGGGGCCACCCTGGAACAAAGGCAGAAGGCCAGCATGTGGCCACAATGTCTGGCTCACCTGTTCCCTTTGAGCCGTCCTGTCACCACCTCCTGAGCTCAGATACGAGGCTGTTCCCAGTTTCAGGTGTCCAGCCAGCTGCCAACAATGCGGGGCAGGCCTCCTGTTTAATGAGGAGACCAAAAAGCGGGATCGCTTGCCTATATAAACATAAAACACATAAAACAAGGCGAAAAAGCAGTGAGCCGACCCTACCGTGGGATAGAAGGAGGAAGCCATCTCGGGTGGCAGATACCGGGGGTGTCCCCCCACAATCTTCGAGCCATGCCCTTCTTTTATCAGATGCAGTTGAATCCTAAAAGCTGGTTCCACATGTTATGGGAAGTTTCAGCTCTCCCTCTCCACATTGCTTCTCGATGGGATCTCCGGGTGGGGATCTGAGTCTCGAAACAGCACATTTGAGCTAACTTTGTGGCTAAGAACTCTCTGGGTTGTTGTTTTTTTTTTTTTCAAATAACAAGGGTCCAACTTAAGTTACATTTCGAAAGTGATGCAACCCACAGGAGCAAAAATGACTGTCTTGTTTTAATGAGTTATGTATTTGAGTTACTTTCCAACTACTTTTGAAGAACACGCTAAGGTGTTTTTAAGAGGCTTTTCTGCTGTTCTCTTGTCAGTCCTTAGAGGACTTCTCTTCCCCTTTCAAAAAAGCACCGTGAAGAAAATGGAAAATAGGGTCCTTTCCAGCTCCGCAGTTCTACAATTACTTTTTTACTGCAAGTAACAAGTCATGCAAAAAGTTACTTTTGCAGCATTGCAGAAAACAAGGAGCATCACCTAGTTTTCAAACAGTCAGAGGTCACTACTTTTACTGAGTAATTTTCTCAAGCCACGGAGGTGTGTGGATCTTCTCTGTCGGCTCTGGCAGCGAACTGTATTGGGTCGGCCTGAGATGGAGCTGCTGAGGCCCTTCAGAAAAAGGGGAACAACTCCACCCCAATTCACAGAATAAAACAATTAGAGGCTCCTAATTCCTGCGTTCATCCTGAATATAATCACGATAACGTCACCTTCAGTACAGCAGCAATGAAAAAGCGGAGGAGGGAAAAAACACCCCCAAAGACTTCCTTCTGCAAAATAATAAGACACAGAAGCCAATGATGATGGAGAGAAACAAGCCTGCCCGCGCCAGCCCATCCTCGGCTCCAGGAAACGCATGCTCCGGATCGTGGCTTCTGCCAAACCAAGACCTGGGTGCCCTCCAGCTTCTTGTTCCACAATTTCCTAGAAACCAGCAACGGTTTGGTACTCGAATCCAAAGTGGGCCGTCCATCGGTGCAATGTGCTCATTTCTTTGCTGGAAAGAGTCCTTCTCAAGGAGGAAAGGCAGCTGGAGAAATGGGCTAGCTTGCTTCCCAGCCAGACCGGTGGCCAAAAGACAGAGACTTATCCACGGTGATCCCCCCCCCGCAGAGGATCGGGGCCAGCCGGGCGAGAAGGCACAGCACAATAGCAGCACCGGGGCCAAGTTCAGGAGCTGATGAAAGCCCACACCGTTTTATTATTTTGTCATTTCCTTAAAAAAAAAAAACCCGCTAGAATTAGCTGGAGATCTTCATGGCAATTGATCAATCTATAACTGGTGGCAGTTTTTGGATCTATGACGCTCCATTTTTGGCCATGCCTTTCCTGCACGAAGGAAAGGCGGCCTCTGTCTCTGCCCAACAGCCCTGTGAGGTAGGTCAGAGAGAGAGCAAGAGAGCCAAGATCACCCAGTGAGCGCCATAGCTGATGGGAGGACTTGAACCCAGATCCCGATAGAACTCCCTCGCTGTCAGCTCATAGGGGCTCTCAGCTGCACCTAGCTAACCACTTGGCCAGGTTTGGGTACAGTTTATATTTGTGGGGAGGGGAGGGGTGTAAAATCTCCATTTGCCGCTTTGCCCTGGGTGTCAAAATAACCCGGGATGATGAGAAATCTACCCCACCCCCGCCCGGGTGCTTCAATGTTGTCATATATTTTTCGTTGGAAACTATTTTATTCATTTCAGCATTTTGACGACTTTCGTTGCCTTTTGCACTGTTTTTAATTTATGGTTTCTTTGTTTATCGTACAGTTGTGTTGTTTTGCTTTGTGTTGCATTGTGTTGGCTATAATGTATCTCATCAGGTTCAATTTGCCCTTTGTCTCTTCCTGTTTGGGCTTTGGGGGGTTTTTTTGTTTGTTTGTTTTTTTGCAGAAGAGGAATAATCAATCGCCGATCCATCTTTATTACAGTTCAGAATTCCAGACATTTTAATCTGCCATCTTGAGATATTTCTAATTTGAGTTGTGTGCCTTTCACAGGTCCAGCTTTTAGACATTGTGGTTTTGACTGAGCTCCTGAATTGTTAGAAGGGTGGAATATACAGTAAATCAAATTATGAATAATAATACCAATAGTAATGATGATGGTAGCAATAAACCCTGCTCCTTTTACTCTTGTACACGGTCTGTGTTGGTGGTATGTGTCAGGTGGCGCAGGAGAAGAGGAAGTACCGTGTAATGGTTAGGCTGTTCAATTTGGGATTAAAATCTCCCCTCTGACTTTGAACAAGTCCTTCTGTCTTCTCGGCCGGCCAGCCTACCTTACGGGGCTGTTGTTATGAAGGTGAAGTGAGGCGTGGGACATTTAACGGGCACTGCTTTTCGCCAGATGCAAGGCAAACTGTCAATCTTAACCTCATAAGCAAACAAAAATTAAAGCAGGCAGAGTTGAAAGAGACGGGGAGAGTGAGCTGGGAAGCCAAAGCTAACAGATGTTGAAAACGGGGGCGAGGGGGGAGGAAGTGTTTTATTTGCCCAGGTCGCTGTGCCCCGATCTTGCACCCTGAGCCACCCTGACGTGTGTGTACTCTCCACCGGGCCCCCACCCAGATGCCAAGGGGAGGGGGCGGCCCCAAGCCATGACAAAACCGCCCTCAATCCTACTCTCCCCAGCCAGGGGCTCTGGTTTCTTCCGAGAATCAAAGGCAGCCTCTCCCAGCCTTGTTCTGGGAAGAACTGGCGTGCGGACCACAGGCACGGAGTTCACAGGAGAGAGGGTGCCAGCCCATCTGGGGTTTGCACCATACA